CGTACCACTCACGAAGCTGCTGAGGGGGGGGGATCTCACGAGTGCGCTGCTGCTGCTGCTGCTGCTGGCGCTGACCACCACCGGAGCCGACCCTCTGCGCAGCGCCACCCCGACCAGCTCCACCTCCTCCGCCGCCGCCTCCTCCACTGCCGCCACCTCTGCCACCTCCGCTCCCACCGCCACCGCCGCCGCCGCCTCCGCCTCCACTGCCGCCACCGACGCCCCCACCCCCGCCACCACCCCCACCGCCACCCCCACCTCCTCCGCCGCCTCCACCGCCGCCTCCACCGCCCCCGCTAGCTCCTCCAGCGCCCCTGCCCCCCTTGCCCTTGCCAGTGTGGCGTCTCCCGCTAGGGGCAGACGCTGCACCGACCGACTCAAGACCAACGAGGTCGGCCGCAGCAGCAGAGGCAACAGAGGGCAAGAGAGGAGAGGGGGAGCACCCCTCAAAGACAGGGGCACGAGGGTCACCACGAGAGGCTCCTACAGCGACTATGCTCTTCTCTGCTGCTAGGAGGCGCTCCTCGAGGAGATCAACGGTGAGGGTGGTGGGGCAAACAGAGAGAAAGTGGTCCCTGACCGGGCGAAGGGTGTCAGGGAGCCGGGTGACTACGTAGTAGAGGGTGATGTACATAGGGGGGGGGTTCTTGGCGCAGAACTCAGGAGGAAGGGCAGCGCGGTAGCGAGTGTCACTAGTGCGCAGGTGCGTAATGAGGTCAGCGACTGTGGGAAAAGCGGCGAGGTCAGGGAAGAGGTACGGCAGGATGAGGCAGCTAAGTGCAGCAGTGGCAGGGGAAGAGTAGCGTGCAACTACAGCGTCGTACAAGGTCTTAGCACTCTTGTACTGACTAAAGTGTGCACGCTCAGCGGTAGGCAAGTGGCGGCGCACAGCAAGACGGGCAGCAGCGTCGCGTGTGGCCCACTGTGAGCGAACAGTGGCGTCAGCATCAGCAGCAGGGGCAGAAGAGGCACCAGAAGTGAGGTCAAAGAGAGAGAGACCGTCTGCCCTGTCGCACTGTAGGAAAAGCTGCAGGTCATCTACCCAGACGTCAAAGTCAATGGCCCGACCCTCAGCGTCAAAAGCGAGGACACTGGGGGTAGCCATGACAGCAGTAGACTAGCAGCTGGAGCAGTAGGGTAAGGGCAGCGCAGTGGTAGAGGTGCCGCTCTTACCGGACAGGGTGGCTCGGGCGGCTCGGCAGCTCGGCGGCTCGGCAGCAACTGGAGCTCGGCGGCTCGGCGACTCGGCGGCTCGGGCGGCTCAGGTGGCTCGGCGGCTCGGGCGGCTCGGGTGGCTCGGGCGGCTCGGCAGCAGCGGCGGCTCGGTAGATCGGCGGCTCAGCGGCGCCGGCGGCTCGGTGGTGACGGCGGGGCCGCGTGGGGACGGCGGCGGGTCCGGGTGGGGTGGCGACGAGGCCGCTGAGGGCGGCGGCGGGGCCACGAAGGGTGGCGACCGGTGCCTTAAGGGTGGGGCTGCGGGGTCGCAAGGGTGGGGCGACGGGGCCAGCAGAGGCGGCGCCGGGGCCGGGAAGGGCGGCGCCGGGGCCGGGAAGGGTGGCGCCGGGGCCGCAAGGGTAGGCGGGGCCAGCAGAGGCGGCGCCGGGGCCGGGAAGGGCGGCGCCGGGGCCGGGAAGGGTGGCGCCGGGGCCGCAAGGGTAGGCGACGGGGCCGCGAGGGCGGCGTGGAGTGGTCGCGAGGGCAGCTCGAGGAGGCCGCGAGGGCGGCGCGAAAGGGCCGCGAGGGCGGCGCGAAAGGGCCGCGAGGGCGGCGCGACGCGACGGGACCGCGAGGGCGGCGCGACGGGGTCGCAAGGGCGACGCGACGGGGCCGCTAGGGAGGCGCGACGCGACGGGGCCGCTGAGGCGGCGCGACGGGGTCGTAAGGGCGGCGCGACGGGGCCGTGAGAGGGGAGCGCGACTCGGGCAGAGGCTGAGCGCGCTCCGGGCAGGAAAAAAAAAGTTGGTGGGCCCTAGGAACAGTTCCCACAGGGGAACCTGCTCTATACCATGTGAAAATGAACGAGGAATGAAAAGACTAAGGGAAAGTTGGGTACAAGTACAAACCCTAGAAAGCTGTACCCCATATGTGCTACCCCACTATAGCCTACAGCAGCTAAGTCATATAAATCTGACACAAACCAGTTCCTATAGCTGGGTAAATGCATGAAGTACCTGATTGTGTGAAGAAATGGTCCAATAAAATACAACCAGACGATGAAAGGGTGACATGTTACGTACTGTCCTATCGTTGCACAGTTTCAGGCCATCGGATGCACAAACAAGCGCAACGAGCTGCGTAGTTGTGCGAATGAACTCAAACCAGTTCCCATAGCAGGGGACATGCATGAAGTACCTGATTGTGTGAAGACATGGTCCAATAAAATACAACCAGACGATGAAATGGTGACATGTTACGTACTGCCCTATCCTTGCACAGTTTCAGGCCATCGGATGCACAAACAAGCGCAACGAGCTGCGGAGTTGTGCGAATGAACTCAAACCAGTTCCTGTAGCAGGGTAAATGCATGAAGTACCTGATTGTGTGAAGAAATGGTCCAATAAAAATCAACCATACGATGAAACGGTGACATGTTACGTACTGACCTATCCTTGCACAGTTTCCCGCCATCGGATGCACAAACAAGCGCAACGAGTTGCGGAGTTGTGCGAATGAACTCAAACCAGTTCCTATAGCAGGATAAATGCATGAAGTACCTGATTGTGTGAAGAAATGGTCCAATAAAAATCAACCAGACGATGAAACGGTGACATGTTATGTACTGACCTATCCTTGCACAGTTTCAGGCCATCGGATGCACAAACAAGCGCAACGAGCTGCGTAGTTGTGCGAATGAACTCAAACCAGTTCCTATAGCAGGGTAAATGCATGAAGTACCTGATTGTGTGAAGAATAATTCCAATTAAAATCAACCAGACGATGAAAGGGTGACATGTTACGTACTAGCCTATCCTTGCACAGTTTCCCGCCATCGGATGCACAAACAAGCGCAACGAGCTGCGGAGTTGTGCGAATGAACTCAAACCAGTTCCTGTAGCAGGGTAAATGCATGAAGTACCTGATTGTGTGAAGAAATGGTCCAATAAAAATCAACCATACGATGAAACGGTGACATGTTACGTACTGACCTATCCTTGCACAGTTTCCCGCCATCGGATGCACAAACAAGCGCAACGAGTTGCAAGAGTTGTGCGAATGAACTCAAACCAGTTCCTATAGCAGGGTAAATGCATGAAGTACCTGATTGTGTGAAGAAATGGTCCAATAAAAATCAACCAGACGATGAAACGGTGACATGTTACGTACTGTCCTATCCTTGCACAGTTTCTGGCCATCGGATGCACAAATAAGCGCAACGAGCTGCGTAGTTGTGCGAATGAACTCAAACCAGTTCCTATAGCTGGGTAAATGCATGAAGTACCTGATTGTGTGAATAAATGGTCCAATAAAATACATCCAGACGATGAAACGGTGACATGTTACGTACTGTCCTATCCTTGCACAGTTTCAGGCCATCGGATGCACAAACAAGCGCAACGAGCTGCGTAGTTGTGCGAATGAACTCAAACCAGTTCCCATAGCAGGGGACATGCATGAAGTACCTGATTGTGTGAAGACATGGTCCAATAAAATACAACCAGACGATGAAATGGTGACATGTTACGTACTGCCCTATCCTTGCACAGTTTCAGGCCATCGGATGCACAAACAAGCGCAACGAGCAGCGTATTTGTGCGAATGAACTCAAACCAGTTCCTAAACCAGGTGAAAGAATTGAACTACCTGTATGTGTAAATAAATGTTCCTAAACATACAGCCAGAAAATGAAACGGTGACATGTTGCGTACTATCATAGCGTTGCACTGTTTCAGGCCATCAAACGCACAACGAAGCAAGTGCGGGGACGTCATCCTCGACATCGTCGGCACGCCTACATGCGGACTACACTAGAAGTAAGGCTTCGTCTAAACAAGCACGGACCATTTACCGTCAACGAGTACGAGCTCCAGCCCAACTTCTGGAATAGCATCCTCTGCTTGACATAACTCGCCTTACGCTTGTACACTTCGTCGATTTCATGTTCGTCGTCCCCGATCCAGGCCTTAAGCTTTGCAAGGTCAATATAATTGGAAACAGCAAGTATTTTTAATATGTTATCTATAAGTTGCATCTATATTTTTAATATTATATAGCTTAGAATCTGTTAAAGACTGATCGCGCGTAACCACCTGCTTTAAAATCAAGTCCAGGTTTGCTTCGCACAGTTGTGCGGTGGAATCCGAATGCACTGACGCCCGACGCCGCGCCACGAATGAGGAGAATCACACGATGTTGCCACGCCGACCAATCAGGAAGGTTTTTTATGTTGTGCTGTCTAGGTTCAGATTCTTCTGTGCTGTCAGGAACGTCCTCGCTTGCTGCAATTCCGACCAATCCGAATGTCGCCGAATGTGTAGTGGGGATGCGTTGGCGACAACGCAACACCACCGCACTTTCAAAACTACCGACACTAAACGGACGTGCAGCTACCGACCAGTCTCTGCCTCAGCGCCAGCCAAAAAAACTTTTACGAAGCGGCGCGCGGTCAGCCTGTTAAAATCTCTGACCGCGTTCATTACACTCACCAAGGCATTTCCCACCATGTTTAAAGGGGTGTTACGGCCAGAAACACCCCAAACACGTGCATCTTTCCGGCGCAGCTCAGAAGTGTTGTCGTAATTCGGGCAGTCGATCTTATGACTAAAAGGGTACCAGCACCTGGAGGCCCCGTAGGGGTCACCCTCTCCTCGCCATTCTTGCCTTCGCGTGAAACAGCAATCACCCTTCCTCCAGGCCTTACCGAGAAGGCCTTGCTGAAGAACTTGTTGCAGCGTAAAGCAGCGAGAAAGGCAGTTAAGAGGAGGCCGCTTGGTAAGTTGGGGCGACCAGCCGAGCCAGAGCCTAGCAACCTTCCGCATGGCACGCAACAGGAACCGAGGGAAATGTTGCCGACTGCAGCTGCTCCTGCTACCGTTACCATCGAGGGTCTCCATGGTCAACTCGTTACCTTCCCCGCTGATTCTGAAGCACTGCATGGAGGTCAGGTCCGGCAGACCGTAGGAGGCGACAAGGATTCCGACGAGGATAGCGACTCGGAAGAGGAGGGAACGGATGATGATAATGAAGAGGCAGGAGGCTATCAGCAACTACCGTTCGAGCCGGTGCTGGTGGGTGGTGACGCTGAAGCCACGAATGGCTACGAGCAAGCAGACGCTGCTGCCGGTGTTGGTATTATGCAAGCATACTCCGGTGCCGCCGTTGGCGACATGCAAGCAGAAGCTGGAGGCGCCCACGCCAACGTGCAGTTTGACACTGGTGCCGCGGCTGGCAACGCTCAAGCCTTCGCTGGAGGTGCCGTGCAGTTCTTCGCTGGAGCCGCCGCTGGCAACGCTCAAGGCGTCGCTGGAGCCGCCGAAGGCAACGCTCAAGTCGCTGCTGCGAATGTGCTGCCGACTAAGAGACTTCGATCAGCACGTAAAGTTTCGATCAACTTACTCACAGTTGTTCCCAAACCCCACGGTCATGCTTGTTTTTCTGTCTCCTGACGTGTGTACTAAACGTACTATCCCATGCTTGTCACTGTTGCCTAATTGCACCCACGGTGATGTTTATTTTTGTGTTTCCTGCCGTGTGTGCTAACCAGTGCACCTCTGTTGTGTGTACGTGATGGCAGTACCCGATGTTCATCATGCCACGATGAACCGTAATCTTGTCGCCGAGATGGATGATATGCGCAACACGATGGCGATACTGCAGGAGAACCATGCGGCAACGGCTCAGATTGAGCAGGAACGGGATGCGCTTCGTGGGGAGGTAGCCGTGCTGCACGCGCAGATTCGCATGCTTCAATCGAGAACCATCGATGGAGTGGAAGCTGTTGACTTTGATAATCCACAAATCGATGTGGAGAAGCTGCCAAAGGTGGACGGGAAGATCCACATCCCGACCATCTTATCCGATGACGAGGTCTTCGCGGTGAGTCGATTGTACCCGTTACTGCTTCTGTGTTAGTTGCATTAGAACACGTACATCTCTTATTGCCCTGACGTATGTATTTTAACCGTTCCGTGCGCCGTGTCCTTGTTCTCTGACGCAGAAGAACGCGTTCCACGTGTACGTCGTGATGATTACGGCGGGCCCAGCGGCAAAGATGCAGTTCTACCCTGAGTGGGCTGATATGGTCCCGTTAATGGTGCGACAGTACTACAGGCTTGGTGTGTGCAAAGACTTGTACTATTTTGTGGCAGGTGGGGACGTGAAAAAAGAGGCCTTAGCAATGGAGAAGATTGCCAACAAACGCCAAACCGTCAACAAAACGTTCAAGCTGTGGGGATGTGGCGCGGAAGGTGGTGTGCCGGAAGCTAAGTGGGCCGAGCTGAAAAGGGCGGGTTTGAATCCAACGACGAAGAGAGATCCTAATCTCTGGACCGCCCTTTACAAAGATGGTAAGTTGTTTACTACGCTTCTTAACGATGACTATTTTTACACCGCAACACCTTTTTATTTACTTGTTTTTCCAGTTGTTATCTTGCAGAGAAGTACGGATCTCGTTGGCATTGCACAGCTGAGGGCCGACCATTTGCTAACCTTGCTTTCTTGCTGGCGGTTATCAAGGGATTTTGCAGCAACCTCGCCACTCACTTCCCCCTCAAGCTCCCTGGCCTGGGCTATGTGTGCCATGTGGTATGTGTCTCTGATTGTTTTATGGAAATCTCATCTTTGCCTGATGTGTTTTACTCCCTTGTTGCTTCAGGTGGAGTGGCCCATGGCTCACTGGAAGGGTCAGAACTCCCCTTCTCTGGACACAGTGGAGCTGAACAACCGCAACTGTGTGACAGAAAAGACTGCTGTGTGTGCCTCATGGCTCAAGGAGTGGCTCGAACGGGACCCTGCTGTGTTCAAGGCTGATGTGCCCCAGGGCTTTGAGATGGGGACTGCTTATTCTGGTAAGGACAAATTGAAAGTTAGAATATTGATTGAGGGTTGGAAAGCCTATTTATTCCCTAGTGGGGTCCCTCAGGTGGAGTATTGGCCTCCTGCTTGAATTAGTAATAACAAATGTAACTGCTAACTGTTCGTAGTGCCTTTTTTAATTATTATGCCCATTGACTACGTGTATTGCGGAAATCACTTTTGGGAATCCAAAAATGTAATAATAAGCTGTAAATAGAACTGCAGCTGAAACGATTTTGATTATAATATTGTGATCCTAACGGTATTCATTATAACACTGTATTGTCATAATTTCAACTTCGATTATTTCATTATTATCACAAACATAAATTATGACATATTAGATGTATTGTAACCGAAGCTTTCTATTTAGCTGTAACAGTAACCCACGAGTTCCGAACATATCGGGGCCAACGAAGTGTCAATCGCTAACAACACATATCACCCCGAAAACTGCCAAACACACCCCACTTCTCTAGTTCACCGCCTAAACCGGCTGCTACCAAAATCGCCAAACACTCCGCTCCCCTAAACTGCTCGATACTCAACCGCCCCGAACACGCGAAAGGCTCCAACTTCGGCTGCTTACATCCCCATGCTAGAGGACACTGTAGCACAAATCAGGCCCGTAACCGGCAGATCGCAACCTGCGCGGAAACAGACGGTTTCGGGCAATATGCCACTCCAATTACGGGGCGCATGGAAACCCGCCGATTTCACCTGACTATTCCTGCAGATTCGCCCAAATACTGCCGGAAATTCTTTGCACATTTTTCTGATGGGTGACGCAGGACCCCCGGGGAGGAACGACGGCCAGAATGGCAGCGCAAATCCTAGCGATAGGAGAAACGCGACCGCAGAAACTGATGCGAAGATTGCGACGGCTGCGACGACAGAAGCTGCTCTTTGCGAACCAATCAAATGGAAGCGCGTGAGCGAGAGACTGATGAACAATCTGTGCGGGAGAACCATGGCAAATGACGAGGATGGTAGATTGTCGTTTGTTACAACTAAGTATCTGAAAAAACAGAACTACACCTGTTCTCCGATATCTTCACTACCCTTAATTTCACACCGCGCTTCGGTGTCACTTCGGGGTCCTCAGCCCAACTTTGTTGGGAGCCGAGCTGCCAAAGTGTGGTTGAACATCTAGACCCCCCCCACACACAAATGCCGCAATTTATACTGGAGGGGGTGACTTGGACGCTTGAGCTTCTGGTGTTTGCAAGGGGATTTCGGATTGCGGGATTTCGCCTTCGTGTCACCTCAACGAAAGCCCAGAAGTTCAGTTACGTCATGTAACAAGCTTAATGCAACGCTTTAACGGCTGACACAAAATCCTCAGAAACAAACATAGACGGGTCATTGATTTTTTATCGGGTGGGTTCCGACCACGCGCAATCCTGACGTGGTCATTTCGCAATGGCTGGAAAAAATTCCTGAGATCGTTGTGCACTTTTTGTCCATGTCAGCAGCAGACTTTGCGGCTCGAGTGTGAAATTAAGAGGGACTTTATTGCTCTGTCTATTTTCACGCCCTCTCAGGCAATCGTTTTCGCGACTCGGGAATGTCACCCCGTGAAGATATCGGAGAACAGGTGTATTCAAGAGCGTCGGAGCTGTTTTCGGGCAAGTTACAGTCCGCAGCCCAAGTTGTTCAACCCTACCAAGGTTGACGGTTGGGTGGCGGCCGAAACTGGTAAGTAAAAAGGCGAGGGCCCTGTTCTCCGGGCACACGATGCCGTCGAGTGCAGGGATGCTGCAGGATCGCTTTTTTTTTGCTGTCCCTGAGCGAAAATCGCGGAAAAGGCAAGGGACGTCTATGTGACCATACGAACAGGGGACACAGGGACGTTCATGTGACGATACTTTTCTGTGGGTAAGTAGCTTTCGCAGGGGTACTACTAGCAACCCTGCGCTTTCAAGGGGACTACAGTGCTCGTTGCGGGCACTTTCCGCCCCTCCGCCACTCCGACAGGAACATTATGGCAACAACACAGAACTCGGTCCCACATTCACCCACGTGTCACAAATTTGGAAAGTTAGAAAACGCACGGCAAAAAAAAAAAAATCCATAGGGAACCTGGACTCATCTTCGCGAGGGATCAACCCTAAACACGGGAACCCACATTTTTTTTAGGGTTGATGCCTCCCCAAAACGCATCCCTTCCCGATTGGGTTTGAGTTTTTTCGGTCAGGTAAAGGGATATTTTTTCCAGTGGCTTGCGAAATTTATGACACGTGGGTGAATGTGGGACCGAGTTCTGTGTTGTTGCCATAATGTTCCTGTCGGAGTGGCGGAGTGGCGGAAAGTGCCCGAATATAGCACTGTAGTCCCCTTGAAAGCGCAGGGTCGCTAGTAGTACCCCTGCGAAAGCTACTTACCCCTTTTCTGTGGTGGGCTAAAGGTTCATCCTAGTGCGCAATGGTCTGAAGCCGAATTGACCGCGTCAACTGAACCCTAGAACCGCCCTACATAGCTTCCGGTACAGTAGTGTTAATTGATATTGCATATTTTATACCTGCCTATAGCTTGCTAGTGTATTAGTTTAGTTATTAGCATCAACTGCTGGTGGTATACCCTCTTCTTCTCTCTTCCTTCTACTATATCTTGTACTCTTGCCTAATATCAAAGCCCTTCTTTTGGCCAAATCTCTCCCTCCATGATTCTCCTTGCTAAGCCTCTCCAAAACCCCAGCTCCTAGTTAACTCGTTATTCAACATGGCATTAGAGCAGGTCCTTTCCTAGGACCTAAGAACCATGGGCCCACCAGTCGCGCAGCCCGTTAGCACACCGTGTGCTGGCTGCCCCGTCCCGCGATGCCCGCCCCACTCACTGCTCGCCCCTCGCGCTGTCCCGCCCCGTCCCGTCACGAGCGCATCAGCAGCCGCGCGCGCGGCCGCACACGTGCAGCTTCCCGCGCACGTGCAGCCTCGTCGCCCGCTCGCTGGTCGCGAGCGCCAGTGCCAGCGCCAGCGACCGTCGCCAGCGTTAGCGCCAGCGCTAGCGCCAACGACGGCCGCCTGCGCCAGCGACGTGTGTCAACGCGAGCGCCAGCGACTGCGCCAGCCTACTCGTCAGCGCGCAAGGGAGCCCGCCAACGGCCCTGCCAGCGGTCCGCCAATGCGCCTCCGGACCCGCCAGCGCGCCAGCAGACCCGCTAGGGACGTGGTGTGGGGCGGTTGGCCGCCGTGAGCTCCCAGCAGCAACACCCGCGCCCTGCCACGCCTCACCCGCGGCATCTGCTTTGGGGGGGGGATGTGGCAGGGACGGGGGGCGAAGATGAAAGGGTGGCGTGAGTTGGCTGGCAGCACCAGCACCCCCGCCCATCCTCTCTTCCCTTGCCGCCCGTGCTGCAGTGGGGGTGAGGGGGAAGGGGTGTGGGGGTGGCGGGTATGACCAGAGCCGCCCCTCCTCTCTCCTCTCCTCCAGCCGCCTCTCTTCACGTTTCCTCCTCCTCTTCTCCTCTCCTCTCCTCTCTCCTCTCCTCTCCTTCTCCTCTCCTCCTCTCCTCTCCTCCAGCCGCATCTCCTCCTCCTCTCCTCTCCCCCAGTTGCCTCTCCTCTGCTCTCCTCCTGTGCACCACCAGCAGCTTCCTCCTCCTCACCAACAGTTGTGTTTGCTCGTAGATGGCGAGCGACCAGCATCGTTCGCCCTCCGGCTATCCCAGCCCTCCTCCGCGCTCCCCGCGCCCTCCTCCGTTCTGGCGTTCACAGGTGCTGCCGGTCAGCAACCGCTGTTTCTGTGCATATCCCAGCTACAAGCAACTGTTCTCCAGGCGACCTGGTGCCAGACACCACTAGCTATAGCCATAGGCAGTTACGGGGGTGTGTTAATTGATATTGCATATTTTATACCTGCCTATAGCTTGCTAGTGTATTAGTTTAGTTATTAGCATCAACTGCTGGTGGTATACCCTCTTCTTCTCTCTTCCTTCTACTATATCTTGTACTCTTGCCTAATATCAAAGCCCTTCTTTTGGCCAAATCTCTCCCTCCATGATTCTCCTTGCTAAGCCTCTCCAAAACCCCAGCTCCTAGTTAACTCGTTATTCAACAAGTAGCGTTTATCAAGCTAGCGGAAACGGACCCCTTCACAAGTTGCTTCGATTGCGGGATAACAATGAAGAAGAGTGTGCACTACAGCGAACAAACCTACACTACTGTCCAAAGCACCAGCCACCTCAATCGTGAACAGGAAAGTCGTATTTTTTTCAATTACCACCCCTGTTATGCTCCAGGAGCAATGCACAGGAGAAACCCACCAGATCTAGATGGGTTTGCCTGCCAAGAATCTCAGGACCCTCGAGGTAGTGTTTCCTGTCAGAAGAACCTAACAGAATCAGAATAGATAGAAACCCCAGCAGGCTCAACCGCCAAATGAAGATCAATATGAAGAAAAGAACGAACCCCAGTATGGATACAACATTTTCGATATTACCAGTGCGAATGGCAAGTCCAACGGCATGGCAAATCTCATCATATCCAACGTTGTTGGCAAGAATGGTTGCCGGGCTGACAGGGTGAGAACGGCAGCTTGTTTGGGGCTAGAACGGCTTCGGTTGTCAGCACAAAAGCAGCTCTTCTTTGTGGAATCTCAAAATCAGCTTCAATCCACAATGCTCGAAACCCCACCTGCAAATGACACGCACAGTGTATCAATCCATATGTGTGAGTAGCACAGTGGTTCTTTCCTTCACTCTCTCAAAAATCTCCTTCACGCAGAAAAAAACCACAAGAAAATCAAACATAGTGGGTAAAGAATCCAGCATCCACACCTAAAAAACCCTGTCACACAATCACGCTCAGTCAGTCACCTTGTGACCCCTCGCTACAGTCACCTTTGGAACAATGCAGTCGCGTTGCAAAGGGTTTTTCTCAGAAGTTGGGAACGTGGCTGATGGTCACCCTAAAGAAAGAAAGAAAAAAAACCTTCAGTGTAGTCACCTTGGGAACGTCGCTGATGGTGGAGCTGAAGTGCCACAAGCCATCGTCGGAGTGCTGCTTGGGCGGCGAGACGGTGTGCAGGAAGAATGGCGTGGCCTGCACACACAGGTCAAACTTGCCTGCATACGTGCCTGGCACCGTTGGCATGGGAGCCGTGCTGAGGGCAGGGGGAGGGGGGTGGTGGGAGGGTGGGAAGGGTGGAGAGGAATGAAGGGAGAGAGGTGAACAGGTGCAACAGAGGAAGAATGGCGTGGCCTGCACACACAGGTCGAACTTGCCTGCGTACGTGCCTGGCACTGTTGGCATGGGCGCCGTGCTGAGGCGAAGGGGAGGGAGGTGGTGGGAGGGTGGGAAGGGGGAGAGAATGAAGGGAGAGAGGCGAGCAGGTGCAACAGAGGAAGAGGGGCGTGGCGTGCACACACACAGGTCGAACTTGCCTGCACACGTGCCCGGTATCGTTGGCACCATACTGCCAGGAGAGGGAGGGAGGAGGAGAGGGTGAGATGGAGAACGTGTTGAGAGAATCGAGGGGATGAAGGGAGAGAGGGAAGCAGGTGCAGAGGAGAGAGGGGTTGGGCTGCACGAACAGGGCATACGCCATACCACTCACCACCCCTTTGCACCACTCACCACCCCTTTGCACCACTCACCATCCCTTTGCGCCACTCACCAACCCTTGGAGCCTCGCTGCAGCACGAAGCGGAAGTCTCGTCGCTCGCTGGCTGTTTTGCCAGTCCTGTGAGGCACGGGGAGCATGGTGTAGGGGAGGAGAGGGGAAGGGGAATGGAATGGGGGGGAGGGAGGAAGGGGGGAAAGGGGGAAAAGGAAAAGAGGTTGGTGTGCGAGTTTTGGGTTTTTGAGGGTGAAGAAGAAGGATTGAATGAAGAAAAATCAAGCCGAAAGGTATTCTAAAAGCCAGAACGCACAACCGCAATGAATGACACTCACCCATGGAACATGCGATTCCATTCTCACCCTGCCCCTTCCTCCTCCACCTCCCTTGTTCCCAACCCTCCCCCCCTCGCCCTCCCCTGTTTCCCTCCTCCACCTCCCTGCCCACTCCCCCTCCCCCTCCCCCTCACCATGCTCTAACCGCCAGTGGCTTCCTGTCTGACGTGGCATGAATGGTGAACGTGGACCAATCAAACCGCCACCTCAGCTTAGGCCAGTCGACAGCTGCCAGCTGAGGCACGCAGCTCCAGGGATGCGGTGGCTGCTCCTGATTGGTCAGCGCGTCTCCTTCTGTTCCCACCACCCCCCCTCCTCCTCCTTCTGCCTGAGCCTCTGCCGTTTCCCTTTCTTCCCGGGCAAACAACCCCGTGCCCTCTGTTTGGTCGAAGCGCTTGCGGCGGCGGGGAGAAGGGGGGGCGTTGGAGGGGCGAGTCCAGGTGAGGGAGGGGCGGGAGGAGGCGGGGAGAGAGGCGCAGGAGGAGTTGACGTGCAGGAGAGAGGAGAGGAAGGAGAGCGTTGCTTGGTTGGCCTGTGGACGGGAGTGGGGGTTGAAGAGAGGGGTTGGAGAGGGGGGGTGGAGAGGGGGGGTGGAGAGGGGGGGTGGAGTGGGGTGGTGGAGAGGGGGGGTGGAGAGGGGGGGTGGAGTGGGGTGGTGGAGAGGGGGGGTGGAGAGGGGGGGGTGGAGAGAAGGGGTGGAGAGGGGGGGTGGAGAGGGGGGGTGGAGAGGGGGGGGTGGAGAGGGGGGGGTGGAGAGGGGGGGTGGAGTGGGGGGGGTGGAGAGGGGGGGGTGGAGAGGGGTGGTGGAGAGGGGGGGTGGAGAGGGGGGGTGGAGAGGGGGAGTGGAGAGGGGGCGTGGAGAGGGGGGGTGGAGAAGGGGGGGTGGAGAGGGGGGGTGGAGAGGGGGGGTGGAGAGGGGGGGTGGAGAGGGGGGGTGGAGAGGGGGGGGTGGAGAGAAGGGGTGGAGAGGGGGGGGTGGAGAGGGGGGTGGAGAGGGGGGGTGGAGAGGGGGGGTGGAGAGGGGGGTGGAGAGGGGGGGTGGAGAGGGGGGGTGGAGTGGGGTGGTGGAGAGGGGGGGTGGAGAGGGGGGGTGGAGTGGGGTGGTGGAGAGGGGTGGTGGAGAGGGGTGGTGGAGATGGGGTGGTGGAGAGGGGTGGTGGAGAGGGGTGGTGGAGAGGGGTGGTGGAGAGGGGTGGTGGAGAGGGGTGGTGGAGAGGGTGGTGGAGAGGGGTGGTGGAGAGGGGTGGTGGAGAGGGGTGGTGGAGAGGGGTGGTGGAGAGGGGTGGTGGAGAGGGGTGGTGGAGAGGGGTGGTGGAGAGGGGTGGTGGAGAGGGGTGGTGGAGAGGGGTGGTGGAGAGGGGTGGTGGAGAGGGGTGGTGGAGAGGGGTGGTGGAGAGGGGTGGTGGAGAGGGGTGGTGGAGAGGGGTGGTGGAGAGGGGTGGTGGAGAGGGGTGGTGGAGAGGGGTGGTGGAGAGGGGTGGTGGAGAGGGGTGGTGGAGAGGGGTGGTGGAGAGGGGGTGGTGGAGAGGGGTGGTGGAGAGGGGGTGGTGGAGAGGGGGGGTGGAGAGGGGTGGTGGAGAGGGGGTGGTGGAGAGGGTGGTGGAGAGGGGGGTGGAGAGGGGGGGTGGAGAGGGGTGGGGGAGAGGGGTGGTGGAGAGGGGTGGTGGAGAGGGGTGGTGGAGAGGGGTGGTGGAGAGGGGTGGTGGAGAGGGGTGGTGGAGAGGGGTGGTGGAGAGGGGTGGTGGAGAGGGGTGGTGGAGAGGGGTGGTGGAGAGGGGTGGTGGAGAGGGGTGGTGGAGAGGGGTGGTGGAGAGGGGTGGTGGAGAGGGGTGGTGGAGAGGGGTGGTGGAGAGGGGTGGTGGAGAGGGGTGGTGGAGAGGGGTGGTGGAGAGGGGTGGTGGAGAGGGGTGGTGGAGAGGGGTGGTGGAGAGGGGTGGTGGAGAGGGGTGGTGGAGAGGGGTGGTGGAGAGGGGTGGTGGAGAGGGGTGGTGGAGAGGGGTGGTGGAGAGGGGTGGTGGAGAGGGGTGGTGGAGAGGGGTGGTGGAGAGGGGTGGTGGAGAGGGGTGGTGGAGAGGGGTGGTGGAGAGGGGTGGTGGAGAGGGGTGGTGGAGAGGGGTGGTGGAGAGGGGTGGTGGAGAGGGGTGGTGGAGAGGGGTGGTGGAGAGGGGTGGTGGAGAGGGTGGTGGAGAGGGGTGGTGGAGAGGGGTGGTGGAGAGGGGTGGTGGAGAGGGGTGGTGGAGAGGGGTGGTGGAGAGGGGTGGTGGAGAGGGGTGGTGGAGAGGGGTGGTGGAGAGGGGTGGTGGAGAGGGGTGGTGGAGAGGGGTGGTGGAGAGGGGTGGTGGAGAGGGGTGGTGGAGAGGGGTGGTGGAGAGGGGTGGTGGAGAGGGGTGGTGGAGAGGGGTGGTGAGAGGGTGGTGGAGAGGGGTGGTGGAGAGGGGTGGTGGAGAGGGGTGGTGGAGAGGGGTGGTGGAGAGGGGTGGTGGAGAGGGGTGGTGGAGAGGGGTGGTGGAGAGGGGTGGTGGAGAGGGGTGGTGGAGAGGGGTGGTGGAGAGGGGTGGTGGAGAGGGGTGGTGGAGAGGGGTGGTGGAGAGGGGTGGTGGAGAGGGGTGGTGGAGAGGGGTGGTGGAGAGGGGTGGTGGAGAGGGGTGGTGGAGAGGGGTGGTGGAGAGGGGTGGTGGAGAGGGGTGGTGGAGAGGGGTGGTGGAGAGGGGTGGTGGAGAGGGGTGGTGGAGAGGGGTGGTGGAGAGGGTGGTGGAGAGGGGTGGTGGAGAGGGGTGGTGGAGAGGGGGTGGTGGAGAGGGGTGGTGGAGAGGGGTGGTGGAGAGGGGTGGTGGAGAGGGGTGGTGGAGAGGGGTGGTGGAGAGGGGTGGTGGAGAGGGGTGGTGGAGAGGGGTGGTGGAGAGGGGTGGTGGAGAGGGGTGGTGGAGAGGGGTGGTGGAGAGGGGTGGTGGAGAGGGGTGGTGGAGAGGGGTGGTGGAGAGGGGTGGTGGAGAGGGGTGGTGGAGAGGGGTGGTGGAGAGGGGTGGTGGAGAGGGTGGTGGTGGAGAGGGGTGGGGAGAGGGGTGGTGGAGAGGGGTGGTGGAGAGGGGTGGTGGAGAGGGGTGGTGGAGAGGGGTGGTGGAGAGGGTGGTGGAGAGGGGTGGTGGAGAGGGGTGGGTGGTGGAGAGGGTGGTGAGAGGGGTGGTGGAGAGGGTGGTGAGAGGGGTGGTGGAGAGGGGTGGTGGAGAGGGGTGGTGGAGAGGGGTGGTGGAGAGGGGTGGTGGAGAGGGGTGGTGGAGAGGGGTGGTGGAGAGGGGTGGTGGAGAGGGGTGGTGGAGAGGGGTGGTGGAGAGGGGTGGTGGAGAGGGGTGGTGGAGAGGGGTGGAGAGGGGGTGGTGGAGAGGGGTGGTGGAGAGGGGTGGTGGAGAGGGGTGGGAGAGGGGGGTGGGAGAGGGGTGGTGGAGAGGGGTGGTGGAGAGGGGTGGTGGAGAGGGGTGGTGGAGAGGGGTGTGGAGAGGGGTGGTGGAGAGGGGTGGTGGAGAGGGGTGGTGGGGAGAGGGGTGGTGGAGAGGGGTGGTGGAGAGGGGTGGTGGAGAGGGGTGGTGGAGAGGGGTGGTGGAGAGGGGTGGTGGAGAGGGGTGGTGGAGAGGGGTGTGGAGAGGGTGTGGAGAGGGGTGGTGGAGAGGGGTGGTGGAGAGGGTGGTGGAGAGGGGTGGTGGAGAGGGGTGGTGGAGAGGGGTGGTGGAGAGGGGTGGTGGAGAGGGGTGGTGGAGAGGGGTGGTGGAGAGGGGGTGGTGGAGAGGGGTGGTGGAGAGGGGTGGTGGAGAGGGGTGGTGGAGAGGGGTGGTGGAGAGGGTGGTGGAGAGGGGTGGTGGAGAGGGGGTGGAGAGGGGTGGTGGAGAGGGGTGGTGGAGAGGGGTGGTGGAGAGGGGTGGTGGAGAGGGGTGGTGAGAGGGTGTGGAGAGGGGTGGTGGAGAGGGTGGTGGAGAGGGGTGGTGGAGAGGGTGGTGGAGAGGGGTGGTGGAGAGGGGTGGTGGAGAGGGGTGGTGGAGAGGGGTGGTGGAGAGGGGTGGTGGAGAGGGGTGGTGGAGAGGGGTGGTGGAGAGGGGTGGTGGAGAGGGTTTTGGGAAAGAGGGCATGGGGGGGTTGGGGGAAGTGTGATGTTGGCCATCAAGCTTGCACCTACATGTGCTCAGGAGGAGGAGTTGGAGAGGAGGGAAAGGAAGGATACTTTGGCTCTCTGGGGGAAGCGGGACAAAATTTTCTCACCCACTGGTTGACGTGGATCTGCATGTGCTCACCCATTGGTTGACGTGGATCTGCATGTGCTCACCCATTGGTGACGTGGATCTGCATGTGCTCACCCGTTGGTTGACGTGGATCTGCATGTGCTCACCCGTTGGTTGACGTGGATCTGCATGTGCTCACTTATTGGTTGACGTGGATCTGCATGTGCTCACCCATTGGTGACGTGGATCTGCATGTGCTCACCCATTGGTTGACGTGGATCTGCATGTGCTCACCCATTGGTTGACGTGGATCTGCATGTGCTCCGAGTTGGCCATTATCTTGAGCAGCTTTGGCTCCAGCATGTCGTTCCACCAGATGTACCTGGCAGGGCAGGGTAGAGAGGGGAGAAAGGAGGGGGGAGAGAAGGGGGATGGAGGAGAGAGAGTGGGGGGAGATTGGGGGAAGGGTGGGAGGGGGAGATGATCTTCAGCAGATTCGGCTTGGGCATGTCGTTCCACCAGATGTACCTGGCATGGCAGAGCAGAGCAGGGAAAACGGGAATGTGGCCCCACGCACCACATCTAACCGAGAAGGGGAGGACCCGGGGGTGGGAGAGGAGAAAAGGGCCTGAGAAGGACCAGGGGAAAACGAGTGGTGGATGGCGGAGAATGGGCAAATAAAGGGCGGAGGTCACGTGTGCCGCTGTTATCAACTCAAAAGGGGTATGTGATCACCCCACTCACACATCACCCCACTCACATGCTCATGTGTCATCGGCCCACTCACGTGCCACCACCCCACTCCCGTGTCACAACCCTAAACCTTAAGGCCCGCTCATGTGTCATCCCACTCACGTGTAATCCCTCTCACATGTCATCCCTCTCACGTGGCATCAACCCTAAAGCCTGAACCCTAAGCCCCACTCACGTGTCATCTAGTGCCAGCACTTCATCGTTGGCGGCACTGACGAGCAGCTTGGGCATGGTGAGGCGCTCCCTGTAGTAGTATGGGTCCGTGTCCTCCTGCAGTTGGCCGACCAAGGGGTGATGTGCGCAGCAAGGGGTGATGTGGGCAGCAAGGGGTGATGAGCCAGGTAGAGAAGTGGACATGAGTGAGAGGAAACGAAGCGTCTGGGCATAGCAAGCACACGTTTAAGTCAAACCATTCTCTCGCACACGTTAAGGTCAACGAGCTTTTGGTACTCAGAGGACTGCAGCTGGAAGGTGGCACCAAAGGTGGCATAGGTGGCACCAAAGCTCGTATCTGAAAAACACACAACTGAAGAATGCCGTACACCACCTATGCCACCTTTGGTGTCACCTCTGCCACTTTTGGAGTCACTTATACCACCTTTAGTACCACAAATACCACCGTTTGGTGCCACCCACGCCACCTTTGGTGCTGCCTATGTCACTTATGGTGCCACCCATGCCACCTTTGGTGCCACATATGCCCCATTTCTCTCTCACTCTCTCCCATCCGGTGCTTACAGTGAGCCGCTGGAACTGGGGCGACTGCAGCTGGGAGGTGACGTTGAAGATGGCGTAGAACTTGAGGATGACCGGCCACGCGCCCAGCGAGTCGTGCAGGTGCTGGAAGTTGCGCCCAAAGTCAAGCAGGTCAAAGCCGTACGCCACTATGCCCACCACCCTCTGCAGCGGTAAGACATCCAGAAGAGGAAACAAAAAAAAAACGTGGAAGAAAAGAGCACAGCGATGCGCGCATGCATAAGTAGTTGAATGAAAAAAATATTAAAAAAAAAAAAAAAAACAAGAGGCGACGAAATCGTCTTAGGGTTGCGAAGCGTTTTGCGTATATATTATACAACTTTCAATACAAAGTATAGTTGTAGTTTTGCATGGTCACCTAAATTTCAACAACGAGTATATACTCAGGTTGAGGTTTGTAAAATTACCAACAAAGGAGTCAAACCTGCGACCTTTCGGTTCATGGCGAGGTCTCTAACGACTGCGCTACCCGAGACATTTAACTTGCGAAGATAAACAATGTTGGTGTTATTGACGCGACGAAATACTTACAGCTCTAGGGTTTGCATGTCCCTTTTTTTCCCCCCTCTTCTTCTCGCTCGTCACGTTGTTCCAACTACCCCACCTACCAGATTAAGGTGAGAAGATCCCTCAGCTCCTACTGCAACTAAGTTAGACGCCTATTAGTTAGAATAAAATTGAGTCATCTCGTATCCTAACTATGCAAAAGGATGACTATTAGCTAGACTAAGTTGTCTAAACTTAGGTTCTAGGCTCTTCGTAAAGGCTTCTGGTTGTTTTAGGTTTCGTTTTTTCCTGCATAATCTAGCATCCGTTTCTTCTATCCTTCATCCCTACTTTTCCTTGCGTCGCTTGCGTTACTACTATCCCGTATTTGCATGTTTTCATTCATGTTTTTCTCGTGATCGGTTTAGAGCCGTCCTATCCAGAAACTGACATGGTGTCTTTTCTTAAGGCCTAACATTTCTATCGTCCCGTTCATTATCTTTCATGATCTCATTGTTTTTCTTTATCTTTGTTATTTATCCCCCTTTTTACCTCCCTTCCCTCCTCTCCTTCCTCGAAGCCACTCACGTTACTCCAACTACTCTCTTCACTTACGCCATTCACGCCACTCCAGCTCCTTAGGTAAGAATTGTTGTTCTAATGCTCATTATAGTTGAGAAGGGATTTTCCGTCGATGTTTACAAGAAGTTGATGTAACAACCTGTTTGTTTTGTCATCCTCTGTTTTTCCGTTTTGTCATTATAATTTTCCCCATGTTACCGTTCTCTCTCTCTCTCTCTCTCTCCCTCCCTCCCTCCCTCCCTCCCTCCCTCCCTCCCTCCCCTCCCTCCCTCCCTCCCTCCCTCCCTCCCTCCCTCCCTCCCTCCCTCCCTCCCTCCCTCCCTCCCTCCCTCCCTCCCTCCCTCCCTCCCTCCCTCCCTCCCTCCCTCCCTCCCTCCCTCCCTCCCTCTCTCAAGCGGTCCGTGTATTAGATCCGAGCAAGGTACAGACATGCACAAGGATATAAGAAGCAATGCATCTCAGCTTCTAAAACCCCCACATCCTACCTACCCTCCTTCACCCTCTAAGGCAGCTCCAATGCCGGCTCCAGGATGGCAAGGCAGTCCTCGAGGGACATTCCTTCGCCCGGCAGCGCCACAGGTGGGTTCTCCACCTGAGCCGCGTAGTTGCACTTCGTCATGAAGCTCACTGACTGCGCCCGCTGCAGCGCCACGGACCACCGCTGGCGGAACTGGTGCAGCAGCTTTGTTGCCTGGTAAGATGAGGGGGCCGCGTTGAAGAGCCGGCGCGCGCCGGTGTCGGCCAGAAGTTTGAGGAATTGAGGGACCTCCGCGCAAGGACAGCCATAGGTATCAACGGCAAGGGGGAAGAACCCGACCCACGAGGCCGTTGAGCCCTCGTAGTCGGAGATCTTCTTCTCCGCCGCCTCCCTGGCCGCCCATCCCCTGCCCTTGACCGCGTTGGGATCCCGTGTGCTGATGGGGTCCGTGATGGTCACGTCCCCTATCCACACCGCTCCTGAGGACTTGTCCCGGATCGCAATGTCGGCTTTCTTCAGAGTGACGGGGCAGAACGTAGTCGTTTCGCTGTGAGTCATGAAGTCAGCGTCGGCGGCCATGTGTACACACGCATCGCGCAACTCATTGTGCGTGTTGGTCCGCCCCTTCCCCGTGTCGCAGCGCAGCAGGTGGTTGGGCAGGCGCCTGTCAAGGATTGCCGTCTTATTGCGGCAGTCACACGCGCCAGGTGCCGAGGAGGGTAACCCCATCCTGAACTGCAGCGCATGCGCAAAGTGAGCCGGGGCAAGCCGCAGTGTCGAGTTGAAGGGGACCGCGTTGAGCCAGTCTCCTGCCCCATACCCTGAGAGTGAAAGCATGCGCTGAGTGTGCCCGCTTAGTGGGTTGAGTGGCATGATGCGTGTAGCCTGCACCTGCTCCGCGTAGCGCAGTCCGTTGTACCGCGATTGCCAGCCCATGCTGCAGCTTGGCGCCCTTGGGATTAGCCCGATCGCTCTGCAGCAGCTCCTTCCCATCGTCCGGCAGTGACTCCTCACACCTCTCCAACCAGTCAAAGAGCGGGGACGTGTTGATGAAGGGCCCCACCATCTGGATCCGCGTTTCCGCCAAGGCGCCGACGGCCGACTCATCAATGGAGGTGAGCAGGTGCTGCGCTTGCGTGTAGCTTGCAAGGAACCCAACACGACCCTCCACCGAAGGGTCTGTGAGTCCCAAACCACCGAGCGAGATGGGGAGTGACGCTTGCGCCCAGGTACGTGAAATCTCGGCCTCCCCCCGTGGGTGGCGAATGCCGCAGGCAGTCAGCAACGTCTCAAACAGCTTTTTACCCCAGTCTGACCACTCCTCGACTGGCAGGGCCGAAAGCGGCGTGGTGCGGGCGACGTAAGCGATCCGCCGTGAGATGCACCGTGAGAGCAGGAGGGAAGCCAGCTGCGGCTCCATCCGCGCGATTAAGGGCAGCGGCACTCCCATGGTGTCGAGGCTGGCACGTAGGAACGCGGCGGTTGCGTCGCTGCCACCGATGAAGCTGCCAAGCACCTTCACCCCATCTTCTGTGAAAGGTACGCCCACTGGAAGCGCTGCTCCCTGCTGGCCAGCCTGAGACCAGGCCGCGCACTTGGCTGGGTTGTGGCGCAGCCCGATCTCCCCGAGGTTTCCTGTGAAGTCCTCAAATGCCGCCGCGCACATGGCTGCATCCCCAAGAAAAGTTACGTCGTCCGCATAGGCTAGACAGACCACGGAGGGGAAGCTGAGCGCCGTTTTCGTCAGCGCTGGGTGTATGGCGGCAGCGAACAGCAACGGGCCGAGGGGATCTCCCTGCCGCACCCCGGTCTCGCTCAGCAGAGGTGGGTGTGAGAAGCCAGCGTCCAGACATAGAGCCGAAGGAAGGCCGTACAGCAGTTTAACTAACGGTAAAAGTGAAGCGAGAGAGGAGTCCCGAAGAGATGTGATGATGGCGTCGCGGTTAACGCTGTTAAATGCGTTCGCCAGATCAGCCTGTAGGACCAAAGCTCCTGTGTTCACCGTGAGGTACGTGCGTGTGATGTGGATAATCGCCTCCGCCCCGCCAGGGACTGCCACGCCGAACTGGTGCGGTAGGAAGAATACACGAGCGGCCCCTGCAGTCAAAGTAAGCACCGTCTTAGCTGCCAGGCGTGTTATGCTCTCGCCGATGGCAATTGGTCGCGTCCCCCCATCGGGCTTGCTCAGGGCAATCAATCTTGAGGCGGTGAGGAGCTCAGCCACCGCAGGAGGTAATTTTCCTGTTAATATCGTGTTGACTAGCGCGTGCAGGTGTTTCCCAACGGAGTGGTTGATCAGTGCTGCATCGCGTAAGTGTTCGAAAGTTGTTCCTGAGGGGCCCGCTCCCACCCCCATCTCGCAGCTTCCCAGCACCTTGGAGAAGACAGCAAACGGTGCCGATAGGTGAGGGTCAGGTTCTAGAAAGTTCCAGTCAGGTGGGGAGGCGGGCGCAGGTGGGTGCTTGGCGCGCAGGGCCTCCAGCACAGTTGGAGAGGGGGTGCTGACTGGCGTGGCTTCAAGTGCCATCACGGCGCGTCGTAGGCTGCCACGTCGTGCCAACCCCTCTGCCCTAGCGATGACACCAATGTCATCGGGCTGGTGTCTGGGTGGTTGGGGCCACGAGAGTGAACCCACTGTTTCAGTGTATAATTTGTCCCATTCTCCAGACAGAAACTGACGAAGGCGGGCACTGACAGCCTTCCAGTCTGGGCGCCTAGGTGACAGCTGGCGAAGTGTTAATCGAGCGAGAAACAGGACGACCGTCCATGCAGAAGGTGAGTCTGGATATTTCGCCAAGCGCAGCAGCGGAACCAACAGAGCTGTGGCGAAAAGTTTGCGTGGGTCTGGTGGGAGGTGACGGGAAAGAGGTGCGTGGCGAGAGTCACGCAATTTCGTCAGATCCCAGTTTGACACGCTGGCGAATAGCGTGTCGTCCTTGGCGAGTGATTCTGGGGATTTCTCCTCTGGGGCTTGGGTTGGGACGGGGTTACCGCCAGGTGCAGATTGATGTCCGGCCTGGCTAGGGGTCTGAATGTGGGAATTCGTGGTTGGGATTGGTGCAGTTACAATGTTGCCTGATGCGGCTCGGGTTGGTGTTGGGGGACCCCTCCTAATGGATCTCACTGCTGCAGCTCCCCCCGCCATGTGAGATGCTGCTGCTGCTGCTCTGCCCGCTCGAGCAGGAGTCTGAAGCTTCTCGTCGTCCAAGGACTCAGAGCTGGAAGTCGAGTCAGTGGACTCGGCTGCTACAAAGCTACTGTCTGAAGTGGAGGTTTCATTATCACCGCTCATCTCGTTTAAAGCCCGCCTCCCCGCCTGCTGGTACACGTTTTCCGGTCCACCCCCACGTGCTCTCCCCCCGCGTCCCGCAGCTCTCCTTCCGCGGCCTGCTGTTCTTCCGCCGACTTGTCGGCCGCTGAGTGTCCGCGCGGCCTCTTCCCGACGTACCGATGAGTTCCCTTGAAGCTCCTGCCTTGGGGCGAACCGCGGAGAGCGATCCAGCTCCCCGCCCGCTTCCTCCTGCGCGCCCTGCCGCGAGCGTGCCTGTCGCGCCGCCGGCGTCTGCGGATCGGATCCGCCGTCGTTTCGAAGATCAGC